AACCCCACATATCAATCAATCAATGGTTATTAAACCAAAGTTGCGCGGTGTCCTCAAGGTAGAACGTGACGTAAGCCCAGCTTACTTGGGTCGTCCCATTTGTTACTTGCGCCGACTTTGTCGTACCTCACCAACCAATCTTCGACGTCCGACTCAGTGGAGCCCGTGAAGATAGGAGGATCTCGTTGAGGATACACGGCGCCGCAAGTGACATGGACGGTCGAAGGTCCCACATGAGAGGCGTCTCGGTGGCTATGTTCGTGTCACGTAGAGGGGTAAGCTTACGGGAGCGAAGTTCCAGGTTTGTACGGGGGTCCAGACACCTCCACCAGATGTCACGTAGTTTACGTACAGACCTACTGGAAGGCCGAGGAACGCTAGTAGAGCGAGGAACGTCAACAGGCCGAAGATACCAACAAGCGCAAGCTTGCTTGCTTGCTTGTTCCTTTCTTTTGTGGCTCTCACCCACTAAGGGGGATTGGCCAAGAAGCCGGTGGTTAATGCAAGTAAATACCTATAGATTTTCTAGATTAGGGGAATATGAATACTGTGTTTTGACTGTGAAATTAATTTGGCGCAATGTTTAAAAAAAAAGACAAAAACGGGGGGGGGAGAAATAATAGAATTTGTTAAATATCTGTGGTGGAATCGTTATATGAAATTCTCCTGAAAGTTGAATCATTGCAGTGTATCAGCTAAATAGTAAGTGGTAGTGTGACTAGTAAAATTCGAGAGCTGATGGCTGACTCAGCAAGGTAATCTTCTTGTGTTATATATGAAATCGCAGAGAGCCCCGCAGATGTTCCTGTCGCTATGTCCCAATGAAATGGCCCCAAAAGACAAAATATTGGGAGTATCAAGTGATATTCCTAATTTTCTGAATAAAATTTCGAAGCAGTTTTTTCTTTGATTTTTGAATCGGTGACATGTAATAAGAAAATGGTCGATATGTTCAGGTTCGTTACAGCTTGAGCACAGAGGGGATGGCACCAGACCAGACCTGTTTAAGTAGAAATTAAGAGGTGGTACACGGCAACGTAATTTTGTTACCAAGACTTCCAATTTACGCGTGGGACACCATTTATTATTCCATGTGAAGTGCAGGTGCGAGAAATCTGGATTCGGTATCATGGTTTTTGATGAGTCTTCAAGAAGGGAAAGTTTTCTAAACCTCGCTGCTGTTACATAAGCTGTAGGAGGCATGATTGGCACAATCGGAAGATCAAGAGATGTTCGCGCAAGTTTGTCAGCCATCCCGTTCATAAATATACTACGATGGCCTGGCACCCATATCATTCGCACTAGATGGATGTTTGCTGGGATTAATGATTTAAAAGTCTCTAGTACTGCTGATGTCGACGACGATGATAAGAATGAACACACAGAATACGAGTCAGTCACTATCACAGCTGTCGAATGAGTCACAGGAAGTTTACGAATAGCTAGTATAACGGCCGTTAATTCCGCTTCAAATATTGGTGTATAATCTGGGAGGCGTAATGAAAATGACCAGAATAATGAGAGAGAAAAAATACCCACACCTGCCTTCTCGCCACTCATAGATGCATCCGTTGCAATTACTGTATTAGTACCTAATTGAGACAAGTGTTGTTCTAATAAACCAATTAAATATTTAGAGGGCAAGTGTTTAGCGTTCATGGGAAAGATATCGTCAAATTCTATTTGCACTTGGCCGATTGGTTTGACAGATGGTGTGATCTCGAATATATTAACATTCAAAGCATCTAGAAGTGTTTGAACAAATAGCACTTGGGGTTTATATACACGGGACCAATGCTCATTGAAAAAGACACCAGGCTCGGCAAAGAATACAAATTCTCGCCTTCTTAAAGTGGATTCAGAAAATTTTAAATAGGTGTTTACTGTTAAAATACGAAATCTGCAAGCAAGGGTGGGTATCCGAGCTTCTTGATACAAAACATTGTTAGCTGTGAATTTTGGCACACCTAAACAACTACGTAGGGCTTCCCGCTCTAAGAGAATGAGGGGGTTTATTTTGTATGCTGGTCCACCAGAGAATAGTACACATCCAAATTCAAGAATCGGACGAACGTACATGCGATAAATCATGATCATCGTATCTCTGCGAAGACCGGAATGGAGGCGGCCAAGCCTACTTATCATTCCAACAGCGCGTGTAGCCTTAATTTTAATATATTCAATGTGGTCACGCCAGCTCAGTTTTTGATCGTACAGTACACCCAGATATTTAATACAATTAACCTGGGGTATTATTTCTTGATGGTACTGAAGAGAAATAGTAACTGGTGCGTCCAACGGAAAAACTATTATAGCACTTTTAGTTACGTTCAGGTTCATATGAATTTTCTGAAACCAGGTTTCTAATGTTGCCAAATAACACTGTAAAGTCGAATGTAGTGAATAAATATCGTTGTCAGATGCAAAGAACGCGATATCATCTGCATATACATATACGTGTACCTTATCACTCTGTGGTATTGAACTTAACAAAATGTTAAATAGCACAGGCGATAGAACAGAGCATTGAGGAACACCTCTCATTTGGCTATACTTCGAGGTGAAAATACCTCGTTGGAAGCAATAAAATTTCCTGTCTTTTAAAAATTCGTATATCCAATTTGTTATGTACTGCGGGAACGTAAGATCTTTTAGGACATTGATAAGAATAGCATGTTCAACACTGTCATATGCCTTGGCTAAATCAAGGGTTACTAGGGCTGCATATTGTCGTCTGTGCCGAGCAAGCTTTATACGAGCCTCTAAATCAACATGCGCCCACCATATAGAGTAACCTGGTCTAAATCCAATCTGGCACGCACTGAGTATCGCATTATCTGTTATGAACTTCGTAACTCTAATGTAAAGTATTCTTTCTATTAACTTAACTACGTGTGATGTTAAAGCGATTGGCCTAATGTTATCTATCTGCATTCCTAGTCCCTGTTTTTTAAGAAGCGGTATTATTTTTGCAAGTCTCCAGTCAGGAGGTATCCAACTATTTTCAAGTGAATAGTTGACAACGTTAAGGAGGTCTTCAGGAGAGATGTCGAATAATATTTTTAACATTTCCGAAGTGACGCCATCTGGTCCAGGACCTGTGTTTGGAAGAATACGAACGACGTGCGCAAGTTCATCCCTACTTACTTCAATAAAATCATTTTCGAATGACGGTTTTGCACACTTTATTTTGATTTGTGATGTAAATCTCTTCTCCAATTCTATTGCAATTTCCGTTAATGTATTTTCCAAATCAGTTGGAGAAAAAATAACTGAGTCAATATTTACGTGTGCTGTAATAGCTTTACGATTACGGAGAAATCTGAATAGAGCTTTCTTGTTGCCACTCTTGGATAAGTAGCTGTACCGTTTTTCTTCATAATCGTCTTTCGCTAATGAAACTGTTCTCCTAAAGGTAGCTTTAGCAAATAAATAATTTCTCCAATTAGTCGGACATTGGTTGGTGAGGAGTTTTTTCCATGCAGCGTTGCGGCGTCTATAATCTCTGGCGCAATCCGCATTCCACCAGGCAGATATGAATTTTCCCTTTGTTGAAGATATAGTGAACTGTGATTTTTTAATTGTACACTTTAGGGTGGAACAAAGGCTCATAGCTTTCATACTTGTTTCCATATTGGGCAAGGAAGACAGCGTTGACTGTAAGTTCTTTTTAAATTTAGAATAGTTTACAAAACTTTGCACCTGGCGATCCACCGTCACTAAAGGAATGCTGACTTCAAATACCAGGGGGCAGTGATCACTACTTGTAGCAGTATCAAGAACAGTCCAAGACAATATTGTCACACTTGAGCTAGCAAATGTCAAGTCTAAGACGGACCTCGAATTACATCGAACGAATGTCGGAACTCTGGAGTTCCAACAAATAAGGTTATTCCGGTTAGTCCAGTCCCACAACCATTTTCCTGATGAATCAGTGCGGAATCCCCATGAAACGTGATGGGAATTGAAGTCTCCCACAAATAGCATACTGTTTCTGCAAAAACTCGCAGTCACGTCAAGGGCTCTTTCATCTTGTATTCCAGCTGGAAAGTAGTTGTTGACTATAGATAGTGGCGCGCATCCGGGAAAGTGAATTTCCAGAACCAATACTTCATAATCGTGTGATATTTGTTGGTAAACTAAGTGTGCTTTATGGCAAATTTTGGATGAAATGAAAAACATTAATCCTCCACCAAGTGAGTCTCGGTCCAGTCGAAAGCACTGATAGTCTTTTAGATAGAAGTTTTGATCAGAAGACAGCCAAGTTTCTTGTAAAATTATGACGTCTGGAGATTGTTGAGAAATTAGATATAATAAGTCTGTAGTTGCAGAGAGAATTGAACGGCAGTTCCACTGAAGTACTCTAAGGTACCCTATGATGATAAGCAAGCAGTAGCAACTGCTTGATCTAAGATTCTATCTTTTAAGAAGTCCGCTTTAGTCCTAGGTTCCTTCACACTCTTTTTTGTTTTCGGATGAGAAGAATTATTAAGTTTGCTAGTGGGTGATCTGGTGCGTTTCAAAAGGCGAGCATCCATATCTACATCTCGATTAATTATTGATTCTGAATCAGATATACCTTCCTGCTCAGTTGTGTTAGGACTGGAAAGCATTGCCTCATTATCGATAGAGACATCTGACTGATGTTCGGCAGGTTTACTAATTGAGGCACTAGGAGGTTGGATACGCTTAGTTATTCGATCAGATGTAACCGACATCTGTGAATCCATAATACTATTGAGTGAGTCGGACAGATTGAGTAAAAATTTTTCTAATACTTTTTCTACGGCCTTTTCTACCATAGCAGAAATGGACTGAGAAAGTGATGCATCCATAGAAAGAGGTGGACGAGCTGCTATACCGGCATAACCCTGACTCCTGCAAGCTCGGGGCGTGCGTGTGCACCAACGCTGTGGCTTGCCGTTTCTTGCTGCTTCGTCGTCGTTTGCATAGTTCCCTAAATATATAACAAATAATGTGCAACTGCACGATACACTTACCCGAAGTCTCAGCCGCGCTGTATCGACGTTCACTATAACGCCGGATGCCTGTAGGTTGTCGAAAAGCTGCTGCCGCGTCAATGATCCGTCGAAATTCACAACGATTTTCTTGTCACGAAACTCGACAAGGCATTTGGAAGCCATATCAGGAAAATTCGATCAACAAATGCGTGAACACACGAAAACAGCACGGCTACACTGGGGCGAGGGCGAACTGAGGGGCAAGATGGGCGAAGAAAGAGCATTTATTGATGACAAGGCATCACGAAACTTCATGGGGGCTGGCGAGGCTGCAACACACAAGCGCGTCCGCATAGCCATAGCACAGAACACCTATACACTGGCCATAGCCTCCTAGATTTTCTTTGCCTGCCGGATTATCGGCGGTCACTTGAAAAGCGGCCGTCGTCGGAACTATGGTGATGGCGCTACCTAAGTAGGAATGTCTTCAAAAAAGTTTGCTATTAGGTTTTTACGTTTTTGAGGCTTATAAGCAACACAAATAACAAAAAAATTAAAAGACATAATGGTAATTATCATTAACTCTAAATAAGTGACGCCATCAATCAGCAAGCAACTCCTTCTGTACAAGGTGAAGCCTCTAAATTTAGTAGGAAACGCCAAAAATGCCAATCTCAAAAGCCCAGAACGAAGACTTTATTTGCTACTTAGGTATCGCCGCCATAAATGACGGGCGTTTCGCGCTTGTTTGGCAGGCAAAAGAAATCTAGGAGGCTATGGCAGGGCTCACGGCGGTACCGAGGGTGGCTACCGGTATGGTGGCCAAAAGGAGAGGTGCACGTAGAGAGGTTAAAGTGAGTTGAGACATAGCCTCCTATAGAACTTTATAGAGGAGGCTATGGTTGAGAGGTGTCAGCCAAAGAGTTTCCCAAAATTAACTAGAGGGCACTCTGGCGCTGCGATCGTTCAGCGACCATGGGAATGATGGGTAGTCATGGAGGAAGGAAAAAGGTTCACAACGGCTTCACAACGAGTGACGTCAGGGCCTCTCCTTACCTTTCCTTGGGTAGTACTAGAGGTGCGCGCCGACTGGTCGGCGCGCCGCCGCCAATAGTTTTCGCCGCGCCACCGCCGCCGACGTTTTTCATCGGCGCAATCGGCGCGCCATTTATGCGCCAGTACTGACTTTTCACAAATTTGTCTTCTTTTTCATCGTGATTTATAGCTTCGTTTCACATTTTGTGTAGCCAGTAAAAACCAGGCTTCTTAGTTATCTTAATCCAGCTTCAGAGACCGAGAGTACCACTATGAACAGCGGAACGAGTTCGGCGGCCGCTGCATGAAATGACATATTGGACAAATTGACAAAAAATAAATGTAACAGTTACAGTAAAGCATAGACACTGCCATCTTAGGCTTAGAAGCAATTTTTGCTATTTTTTGTGTCGTAATTAGCTATGATTATGGTGATACGACGTTGAATGTAATGGCCCAGCGTTTTGATGCGTGCGAGTTCGCCATAGCACAATTCGAATATTCATACGGATGGAAAACGGCATCATTATCAGTCCTCAGATGGCAGCCTATAATTGTGCCCGAAACAGGGCGTACATAAAGAAGAATTGAAGTGGTAGCAGTGCAGCACGAATGCAGCGCGTTAGATGAAGGGAGGAGGAGGAATAAATGAGGAAGGACATGGAGGTTAGGCGTTAGATGAAGAACTACACAAAACCCCGAAGGATGAAATTGAAAGGGAGAAGTTTAATGAAGATTAAAAGCGTCGAGGCATAATACATGCTCGAACCTACTCAGGGTATATCAGCACCTGTCCGCGGTGTTAAAGTTGATAATTTTCGAGGATGGCCACTTATATGCAGCGTCTGAACATGCTGCAGAAAGTATTCACCATCTGTTTTATTATTTAACTTGTCTGTTTGTACCGGCCTTTTAAGACATTGGATACCCGGGATGAAGATGCCAAGGCAGTTTGATGGCAAGAGAGAGAAAGGAAGGCTGGGGGATTAACCATATCTTGGCATCCGGTTTGCTGCCTAGCACTGAGGGTTGATAAATAGGGGCAAGAAAGGGCGTGTAGAGAGACAGAAAAGAAAACGCATGTGCACTCAGGAGTAAGATGGCAAACTTAACAGAGTATTTATTACATTCTGTACAGACAGGGCGAGAGGTCTCTTGCGAATGAGCTGGGTGGCTCACTATAAAGTGTACGTTTTGACTTAATCAGGGAATGGGTCCAGAATGCGCTGTTGAATCACGAGACACACACACCATTTCTGACGGTGCCGCTCACACTCGCTCAAGTCAAGGTCTTTGATTGGGGCGTGGCCACCACACTCCACCTGTGACACCAAGAAACCATTGTGGTCGTCTCGTCGAACGTCTTATGGTGATGGAATGCCACCTCACTTCCCGGCTAAGATGGACAGTACACGGCGGACAGCAGGCTGGCAGCCCTTCGGTGACTTGTTTGATGAACAAAGAACGCGGCCCTCCCCCGTCGGCCCAGGCGCCGCACGTAACAACGGCTATCCAGTGGTGAGAAGAGGTGTAATAAGCTTGTCTGAGATCACCAGTTTTAAAAAGAACAAAACAAAATTTAAAAAACTTGCCAGTAGACAATTTACAAAAGACGGCTGGATTCATCAAAAATGCAGAGACCGACATTTGAGCGACATGTCATATATGACATAGTTCAGCAAACTGGTTTTCATCACGTAACTTGAACGGACCTACTGGCACTGGGAGACGTTAAGAACGATTGTCGCTGACAGATGTACTTCTGTTGCGAAGGTAATGCTCAGAGTCAACCAAATAAAACTTAACATTATATTCAAGTCTTGATAAAAAAATAAGTCAAGTTAGAAAGCTCCTCAGGTGGCCAAATAATAAATTACTTCACCATACTTTATGAAGAAGTAATTTGCAAATAAATAATGCAACCGCTGTTTAAATGACATTCAATGACGTGACCGCAATCAACGGTGTGTCGTCGCTATAAAACGGGAAAGTTATATGTGGACCCGATCGGGCGAATGCGGCGGAGAACGAATATGTCACGTAATAAAAGCGATGTGATGTTGCACATTTTCATCTTTACAACTCCGTGCCCTTTTGCTTGCTCGTGATGTGTTTGAAGGAGCTAGCCAAGTCTCAGGTAGAAGTCAATCAGAGTAGCCGGGGCTGATAATAGAAACGTTTATGTTCACTATTTACACACTAAAGGTAGCATCATGGAAGCTTGATGATAGCTTCTGAGAGCTGGTTCAGAGCGTCTCGGTGCTCGCGTTTTAAGCCGTGGTCTTCCTAAAATTCTCTGCAGGAGAAAACAATAGACAGTTTGCAATAATCTGCAAGGCAGCTTTTCTGTAAGGTTAGTTTTCCAACCATAAACTCTCGTTCACAGACTGCTTTTCTCGCTCATTTTGTTTTTGCCATTCACCTTTTTGAGATCTTGTGCTCGCGTGTCTTTGCTGGAATTTGGAGAAGTGACATTTTGTTGTACTCGCGTGCTCGCGTGCATTCGCTGGAGTTCGAAGAGGTAAAGACACAATGAGGAAGAAAAGCAGTCTGTGAACGATAATTTTTGGCTAGAAAATAAACCTTACAGGAAAGCCGCCTTGCAGATCACTGTAAATGGACAGACTGCATGTCCATTCAGTCCGGGGCAGTCCAAAGAAATTGTCGTCTTCATCTCCGTCCCCCAAATGATGGAGGTAGTGGTTAAAAGAAGGTGCCTAATTTCTGCAGCCCAGCAGGGAGCAAGGCGCCGCGAATAAAGATAAAAAAACGAGAAAGAGAAAGAGAGAGAAAGTCAAACACTGCTTTCTTTTCTACCCAGGAAATAGAAAGGATGCACGTTCAGTTTGTCACACGGCGAGAGAGAAACACAACGTAGGTGATAATGCAATAATACGCACAACACAGCACAGTGAAATAACGTTGCATCGCAAGTGCAGAATAGGGTCTGCAGCGCTAGGCAGGCTAGGGCCTGGGGGAGTGGAAGACTTGAAAGCACCACAGAGTGTGAGAAACATACCTGACGACGGATCCCAACCTCTCGGCTAATTATTCAGCGTGTCTCGTGGCACGTCGAACAAATCAAGCTGCCTCGATTTCCGACAGCTCTTCCTAGGCCGTCAGTCAGTCAGGCGTGTCCAAAGAGTTTTTGACGAGGGGAGCCAACAGCCCTAAAGAATTCGAAGTATGACTTTCGTGTTGTCGCCTCTTTTGGCGCACCTCGAGAGCGTTGACCCGGAACAAATCAGGGTAGGTGAGGTGACTTTCCGCGAACCTTACCTGCTTTCCAAACCAGTTACTGCATGCAAGCTTCCCCTGAATGGATGAATGTGTGGTTGAAGAAAAAGAAAAAGACACTATCTTTTCTTGCGAGACCACGGCTCAGTCCCTTGAAGGGAAAGGGGAGAGTGGAGAAAATAGTTTAGAAGTAGGTAGGAGGAGAAGGTTTGGAAGAACGTGACGGTCATGGCTGCTAGAGCAGAAAGACAATAGGGGCCGTGGGCAGGGCAGTCCGAGTCGTACAACTTGGAAATGTGGAGCTGCAACCATGTACGCAGATACCTATGGTCATTCCCACGAGAAAAAAAAAATTCTGGATCACCTTGTATATAGTGCTGATAGCACTATATACAATGAGTACTACATGAATTGGCTGCTGTAAATACCTGTGCTATTTTGAAATTTGGTGATACTATGCTGGTCAATACATTGGCCTACGCTTGTAATTTGGTCATTGTGCGGAATGGTGTAATATAAATTTTTTGCAGCATAAAATCTGAGAACCATGACTTGACAGGGTCGCGTTCTTTAAAACGTCTGTTACCTGTCCCGAATTTCGAATCAGGTAAGGTGCATTCATGGTTCATCATTCATCAAGTCTTCCTGCAAAACACTGCAAGAAAAACTTGTCTTCATTGTATGATCTGGTGCTAGTGCACATGTACGTGTTATTCTACATAAGCTGAGTCTTTCGACAATACCTCATCTGTTGCAATACAGCGCCTGTGTTTGCGTCTTTTAGGTGGGCATGATTGTGTTGGATTGTATGCTGCTTCCTCGAATATAAAATAATGACTTGGTCGTTAGCTACCTGGTGCAAAAAAAAAACCAAGATGCAACATTTTTTTCGTCAGTACTCCTCTCTCTACCCCCCCCCCCCCCAGCACACACACGCACACGAGAGCTATAAGCGTCCAAGAAGGAAGAGGGGCTGTTTGCGGTTGCGCACCTGTCATTGCTTCTCTAAATGTTTTGGTGTGAGGGGGTTTGTAGGAGCAGCGAGGATATGCGACTGGAATCAAAGGTGAACATTCGA